AAAGATAAAAACTACTGGGACACCCGGTGGCTCAGCAGCGATTAGTGTAGAGCAGCTTGATAGGAACCCATTGAAAACATGACAGTGGATCTGGTTCAAATCGTGAATTGCTACAGACTTGTCAAACTACATATGACGTAATTCATGCTTCAGCCAACAGCCACAATCCTCTGACCTTGACCAGCGTTCCTTTAGCTATCGTGAATAATAAACATCGTTCAAGAAAGACACATTCGAGATTTTTATTCACAGGAGTAGTGCATCTCTGATTCTTTTTCTGCAGTCTCCTCATACGGCATTGGATTCGTCGGTATTGGGGCTATAAAAACTCAACAAGATAGGTGATCGTTATATTTGTTGTACCTGACTTACCATTGCACTCATCTACAATATGGAGAACGTTAAGTCGGATGGACAGAAACGGCCCTATCGCTTCATCAGTGCGGAAGATCGGCGGAGAGTAATTGAATGTGCACGCAGAGGTGATGATTTAAAAGAAGTTGCAAAACACCTCGGCATCAAGACCAAAACATGTCGTGCTATTGCAGCCACGGATCGGGAAGTAACACTAAAGCCTGGGTCTTATAAGCCTAAATTCAACGACGAATTCACAAAACATTTATGTGATGTTGTTGATGAGAACCCTACAACCACATTGAGGCAGTTAAAGGAACGCATGGAGACAGACTTCCAGGGTACTTCTGTTAGCAAGACTTCCATTGAGCGATTGCTGGATGGACATCACTATTCAGTTAAGAAGCTGACCATCCAGCCCATCGAACGGAACACGGAATCTGTCAAAGTGAAACGGGCGGAATATGCCGATTGGTTACAGAGATCGGACAACGCAACCCTGAGACTATATATTGACGAGACCAATTACAACATATGATCCAGTCGCGGTTATGGACGATCCAAAGTGGACTGAAAAGCCATTAGAAGCCTCCCGTCCAGCAAAGGACCCAACTTGAACATAATAGCATGTTCACCTGTCGCTGGTATCGTTAAATATGAATGTCATCCAAAGATCACTTGGCATGTTTTCAATGGGTTCCTATCAAGCTACTCTACACTAATCGCTGCTGAGCCACCGGGTGTCCCAGTAGTTTTTATCTTTGACATTGCGCCGGTTCATCGGAGAGCTTTGGATGCGCAGTTAAATGCCAACCACTATGTCCGATTTCTCCCACCATATAGTCCCTTTTTCAATCCATTGGAAGAGGTCTTCAGTAAATTCAAACAGATGAGAGATTTTATTCTTTTAATTCCCTTATCATTTAGTACATTAAAAACTGATTCACTGAAAACACTGAAGCCATACGAGATGTACCAAATGATTTGACGATACGGGCACATCGTCTGAACCAACTCCAATCACTATGCGGTGCGGCATTTGATACCGTTACTACAGTCAACTGCGCGGCATACGATCGTCACACCTCA